GTATTACATACTTAACATTATAATAAACATTATATATGAAAACATCATACATTGAAAAGTAATTCCAGAAAGCTTATTGTTAGAGCATAATTTTGATTTTTTTATTTATAATAATGTTAGGAGTCAGGGGTTCGAAACAATTAAAAGTTGCCGAGTGAATTACCAAAATTGACACTTTAATTACAGAACACTAATTACAACTTAAAACCACACTAATAACAAACCACAATTGTACTATTGATCACTTTAGTTCGCAGTTGTATCGCTTTTTTTTTGCGCCCAGAAGCAATTGGAAAGGGCTATCTCGATACGGCGAGGAAGTGGAGGATGCTTTACGCATACCACGACAGCAGGACTGTCGTGGTTATGTGGGACTCACTGTGACTACCTACTGGGGAACCTAAGTGCTACCCACTAAACTCCACTTTAGGGACTGACAATTGGCCGATTGAGCCGCATTGTTGGATCGGAAGCGACCCTCTTTTGGGAGAAGAGGGCGCAGGCGGCTACAAAGAGCCCCTGAGGAAAAGTCTACTAAGGCAAATTAATTATGAAAATTTATTATGAGTTGGCCTGGGCCGCCAGGAGGCAGTTCAGGTCGTTTGAAAGTTTATTTGGCGGGTCCGAGAGAGTATTTCTCGGCCTGCGGACTCAATAGCGAGAGGGGGGTGGAGCTGCATAAGTAGCTGCCTCACGAATAAAATGATTGGAATGCGACTCTGAGGCTTTGAAGAAGTTCTCAGAGTTTTTTAAGGAATCGTTGGATTGTAGGGAGCTCTAAGTCCCGATGAAGGTCGGCATTACGGACGTACCAAGTTGCGTTCGTAGCTCGACGACAGAAGAGGTTTTGAACTACTTGGAGTTCATTAATAATTTTAGCAATCCTCCTTAAGGGAGGATTTAATAAGGAGGAATCTACCGCGATGTTGATTTTTTCGGGACTGTCTAAGTCCGACGATAGGGAGATGGGGGAGTCCTGTGAGTCCAGAGCTTTCGCTAGGGACTCCTTGAAGCCCTTCCAATTTGTGAAGGTTTTAGTAGAGGATGTTGAGGGGGGTGGCTGATGGCCAAGAATGAGAGAGACCGGTCGGTGGTCAGATCCTAGATCGTCTAGTGTCCCGATTGCCCTGAGGTTGAGGGAAACACTTTTGAATAGTGCTAAATCTAGCACGTCGGGAGCGTAGTCGATGACATTGGGATATTGAGTAGCACCGAGGGGACTGTGGACGGTAAGGTAAAGAGACTGCGTGATATCGAGCAATATCCTACCTCTACGGGAAGTAGTACGGCATGTCCATTCAGTATGCTTGGAGTTAAAATCTCCAAACATAATGACTGAATTTCCCAAAGATAAAAGAGTCTCAAAATATTTTTTGAGGGGAAGGGTTCCAGAAGGGATGTAACAGGAGGCTATAAAGATGGACTGATGTCCAGTCATAGATAGCCTGCATACCATGGCTTCAATGTTGGTAAGCTGCGGAGTAGAAATAGGAGAGCAGTGAAGTGTCTTCTTGTAATAAATGGCCGTACCGCCGCCTCGGCGGTCGGGTCTGTCATTACGAAGAAGAGAAAAGTTTTTAATGGAAAGGCCTTTAGTGTTCTTAGTTTTGAGATTAGTTTCCTGTAGGAGGAGGAAATCGGCTTCACGATTTCGAAGAAAGAGCATCAGTTCTGGGAGGTTATTTTGCAAACCGCGAATATTATAGGATACAAGCGATAAACCCTTAGGTTTTATACGACCGTGAGATTTTGGTAGAGCAGACTGCTCTGCCATTGTGAAGTTAAGTTAATTTAGTTAACATACAACGAGCACAAAAGATTATGATGCACTGCAAGAGCGAGGAGACGGTTCTGAGGGGACCTCGCAGCGCGCAATTTGCGTGCTAACACAGCGATTTCCCCAACGTGGATGTTCCTAATAGCGGAATATACCGTTTTTAGGTCGTCAGCCATTGAGGGCTGTGATTGTTGTGGGGCGGAAAAACTGGAGGCTGCATAGAGTGAGAGAATCCCGGAGGGGGCCGAATGGTGGCCTGAGGGGGCCTAGGGGGACCCTGAGGGGACCGAGAGAAGCCCTCGAGGGCCTGAGAAAGGCCCTGACGGGGGATGCGTCGATAGAGCGCCGGGAATGATCGGTCATTGACCGGCGCTGGAGCTTGCCTAATGGGGCGAGGATGAGGTGCGCAAGGGCAGCCTCTGTATTTTGCCGGGTGGCCTGTTTGTTTACACAGGATGCACGCGGGTGGGGATTCGGCGTCTTTGGGCCGAGGACACTCTTTAGTGTTGTGGGGTTCAAGGCAATTAACGCACCTGGGTGTGGCGGAGCAGTTGGCCACCGCATCGCCATATAGTTGGCAACGGTGGCACTGCGCCGGGAACCCGCGTCTTTGTGGGGGCTCAACCCTCACTCTCGACAGGCCACACATTGTGCGTACCTGCCGGAAGATGGCTTTTGCCTCCGGCACGTTAGAAAGGATGACGAGGACAAGCGAGAACCTCTGGCCTGTTCTACTGTGCATTTTGTGCTCGGCTTCTACGGGGAATCCTTGGGACTTAAGGTCCTCGACGATGTCCCCGTTGGAGAATTCGAAAGGGACACCGCGGATGACGGCCCTGACTTTGCGCTCTTCCGAAAGAGCGTACGTATGGTAAGAAACTCGTTCGGCTGTGAATAGCCTGGCGAGACGACGGAAGTCGTCGATTGATTGGGGGAAGATTTTAATAGCCTCCCCGAGGTTGATGGCGTGATCGTATTTTATGCCTGCGTTGTAGCAGGTTTTGGATATTTACGTGAGTTTTATGTTGTCTCTTAGGAAGACAGGGGGGCGGGACTTGCTTCTTGGCAGGGACTGGAGCACAGCGAGACGCTGGCTTGGTCGGAGCGGGGATGTCTAATGACATAAGTGGGGCCGAAGCAGCGGCGGGGGCTGCAGAGGCGGCAGCGGTAACTGCGGGGGCTGAGGCAGCGGCGGGGGCTGCGGAGGTTGAGGGAGCGGCAGGGGCCGCTGAGACAGGGGCGGTGCGGTTTTTCGCGGCGCGTTTACCGTTGCGTTTTGACGTCACTGTGGTGAACGATGAATCAACATATCCGTCGGAGTCAGAGGACTCCGATGAACCGGTGCCAGACTTGGTAGCGGGCCTCTTCCGGGAGGCTGACGCAGAGGACCCGGAGTCGGAGTAGGAGCACTACATGTCCAGGGGGGCGAATGTGTTTTTGGACTCTAGATAGGCCGCGAAAAATGCTTGAGGGGCATAAGAGGCAATAGTTGCCACAAATGCGACGAAAGCCGAATTATCCAGCCTATTAAGGCCTGCAATAATGGAGCCAATATACATGACCTTGTTTGGACATGATGCTGGGTGGAAGAGACGTATTTGAAACGGAAGGGGCTGGGGGTGCTGTTCTTAAAAGAAAAGAGACGTTCTGTACCTAAACAGTAAGGGCGGGATCACCGTTCTCAAAAGAACGGGACGTTCTCATTCAAGGAGTAAGTGCCCCTGTTCTCAAAAGAACTCTGAAAAGAGCAAGTAACTCCCTAGAAATAGTATACACGTACACGTTATACAATAAATAACGAAAACAAAATTAGAAATAGTTAACAATAAGAAAAAACAATAAAAATAACAATAGCAAGCGGAGGTCAGTCAAACCTCCCCGCCCAAAGACAGGGGGGCAAGAACTATTAGCGTAAATGACTCACCAGGGCGTCGACGCTGTACAGCGCGAGCAGGACAGGCGAAATAGTTGTATCGCTTCGAAGTATTCGCTTTCATAGCCAACTCAACACTGGCTCCGGTCGCGGTCTATACCGGCCTTATATAGGGCCTCAGATAATTCCAGAATCTTCTACTGTAGAAACATCTAGAAGGTTCGAGTACATATCGGTCCCGATTGACTAGATGTCGATAGTTCTAGAAAGTTCTTCCATGGAAATTTCTAGAAGGATCTTGACTCTCCTAGTTCTGCTACTCGATACTAAAAGGCGTTAGTGGTAACTAGTGTCGCCATGTACCAGTCATTAATGGTGGAGCGATAATAATATTACGTCACGCAATCACAGCAGACCACTTAGCTTCCGTCTTCACATTGCGTTATCGTATTCATATTATGTGCCTCACTTTTTAAAACGGAATGTATTTACTATTTAGCAGTAAATAAATAATACAAGTAATAATGAATATTATAAGTAGGAATAAACTTTTTTAACAGTGATTGAGCTAATCGTAGCAGTATAATTTTACCAAGAAGACTATAGACTTGGTAATTTAACCCCAAAGTGTTAGTAAATATTTGAGTTAGTTTAAATATAAACAATTTCTGCTATAATCATTTGAGTGGTAAGATATGTGATTGGGCAATTCGAGAAATAGAAATAAAACGTAAAATCGGTTTGAAAAAAGTGGCGATTTTCATTGAACTGGGCGGTACTTATGTCAGAAGGTGACTAATGATCCGATTACAGAACGAATAAAGAAGAATAAAATAAAAAAAAATAAAAAATAAAAGCCATTGGACCTGACGGAATACCAGTGGAAGCTTGGAAATGCTTAGGTCCACGCGGACTCGTGCTGCTAACCGATTTCTTTAACTGTATGTTGTTCTCTTCAAAAATGCCAAAGGCGTGGAGATTGAGCACTATAGTTCCCATCTACAAGGGAAAAGGTAGTAAGTACGAGTGCAACAACTACCGCGGAATCAAGCTCCTCAGTCACACCATGAAGCTCTATGAGAGGGTAATTGACAGCCGCATAAGATTCGAGTGCGAGCTGTCTAAGAACCACTATGGCTTCGTACCTGGATTGTCTACCACGGATCCGATGTTTGCTCTTAACACGATTGTCGAAGAGTATCGCGCGAAAAACCGACCATTACATGTCGCATTTTTGGACATGGAAAAGGCGTTTGACCGTGTCCCAAGGGATACGATCTGGTGGAGCCTTCGTAAGAAAAATGTCCCCGAACACTACGTTAACATCATTGCCGACATGTACAGAGATCAATGGTTCGGACGGTGGTGGGTGAGACCAGGTCGATAGCGGTCACAGAAGGAGTGCACCAAGGTTCTGTATTGAGCCCTTTTCTGTTTTGTTTGGTTCTGGACTCACTCACCGAAGCGGCACAGAATTCAGCAACGTGGACATTTATATACGCTGACGACGTAGCCATCTGCACAGACAGCCGCGCTCACTTGCAAGAGGCACTCGTGTCGTGGAAACATCAGTTACAGACCGGTGGCCTAGTGCTGAGTGTGGCAAAGACTCAGTTCATGTCCTTCAACGACCCAGATACAAACAACAGTCCGATTTCCATCGATGGACAATTGGTGAACTCGTGTAATCAATACAAGTATCTGGGTAGTATGATGAGCGGTTCTGGGGACTTGGAAATTAACATTCAGCACCGAATAGCCGCAGCGTGGCTAAAGTGGCAAGAAGTGACTGGTGTCACGTGCGATAGGAGAATGCCGGTCAAACTTAAAGGTTTAATCTATAAGACCATCATCAGACCAGTCCTATTGTATGGCAGTGAAACATGGGCCGTAACTCAAAAGAATGTGCATACCATGCAAGTTGCTGAGATGAAGATGCTGAGGTGGATGTGCGGCGTTACCAAGCGCGACAAAATCCGCAACGAGTACGTGCGAGGAAGCTTGGGCGTGCGCGACATCGCTGACAAGATGCAGGAAAATAGGCTGCGATGGTATGGGCACGTGAAGAGGAGGCCACCCGACTACGTAGGGAACTTGGCACTACAACTCTCCATCCCAGGTCGAAGATCCAGGGGCAGACCCAAAACACGATGGAAAGATGTAGTGGTAAAGGACATGAGAGAGTGCGAAGTATCCGAAACTGAAGTCGAGGATAGAGCGAAGTGGAGGCGTAAGACAAGAAAGGCTGACCCCACCACCATGTGGGACACATAGCCAGGAAGAGAGAGAGAGAGAGAGGTCTTTACCTATGAAATTCCCATTTTGTTGAAATGGTCACTTTGAACTGTAATGGCAATGGTTTTTCTTCTATAGTTTGAATAAATATTATAAAATAGCAATAATGTGTTGATATTTTTGGCAAATATTTGCCTGTGACTACTTTGACGTATAAAATGTTTACAGCAAGAACACTCCGCTGTGTAAGGTACTCGGTCGCGGTTACGCAGGCGCAGGATCCGAAATCTGTCGTTCAATACTCGATTGAAATGTTAGAACTCGGCAGATAGGAATTCACTATCTTATGACTTCATCATCATTACGGCCCTTCACAAGTTCACTGCTGAATATAGGCTTCCCCCAAGGAATGCCACTAAGCACGATCCTGAGCACCTACGTCCATCGACTTCCTGAATGTCTTACCAGGTTTTCACTCCATTCTCCAGAGCCTTTCTTTCCAACCGGTTGTCGGTTATTCGAGCTATATGTTCGTCCCATTTCCACTTGAGCTTACTATCCCGTTGGGCTATGTCGGTTACTCTGATTTTACTGCGGACATCCTTATTTTTAATGCTATCACGCAGAGAAACCCCAAGCAAAGCCCTCTCTATAGATCGTTGCGAGACCTTGAGCTTCCTTATACGGACAACAGTGAAGGACTACGTCTCAGATCCATAAGTCATCACCGATAACACGCTCTGGTTGTAAAATCTTGTTTTCGAGTTTTCGCCATTGACGTTAATACCGTATCCTTTCCAGTCCAGTAGCTTGAAAACGTCTTGCTATGCAGCGGTGGAGAGCTGTATTCGAAAAAACATCATAGCCCTCCAACAAAAATACTTGAGCACATCGGTATACTGACAGCCAACCTGGCACCGCTGAAACGACTGTTGTATCACCCAAATTTCGATGGAATCAAAGACTTTCTTATAGTCGATTCTACATACGTAAGACAAGTCAGATTGTACTCATTGGTCTTTTGTACAATTTTCCGAATGGTTTAAGTGTCGTCTATGGTGTTAAAGCCTTTTCGTAAATTAGCTTGTTGGCGAAGCTAAAATCGTCGAGTCTGTGTGCGAGACAATTCGTAATGAATCCCGAAAACAAGAGGTAGACGCGGCTCAGAAGGAAAATTAGTATGTTGTTCTTCAACAGAGCGTTGTTAACTTTCTTGAAGAACAAGACCACAGCACTCCTGCTCCACGCTTTTGGAGTAATGCTACCATGGAGGACGGAATGAAAGAGCTTCTGAAGGACTTCAAGTACTGGTTTCCACCCGATTTCAGAAACGATCCTATGCCTTGCGCTCTCTGAAATAAAGATTTACCCTCATAAGCTAATTGTGATGAATGATGGTAAGTTTCAACCATAAAATTTTGGTTAGTATGTATGGTTTTTTTATACATACATATAGTAATCGTTTTATTAATTACATCTATTATCGATACTTATTTGAAAGATATTACTAGGCTGCATTTTGCATCTTTCACAACAAAATATACGACAGTTCTGTGTGTGGGTTATATTTTCTTATAATGATTTACCCACTGGAACTCAACTAGAAGCTTTCTTAGATTTAAGTATTGATTGTTTTGTTCAACACTTACCTACACACTGTGCCGTGTACAAACGGTTTAAGAGAATCTACTACAACAAAATCATATATTTTTCCATGTGTGTGGTAAGCATGCACAGACTATTTAAATTCTTTGTCCGACGCGAACTTAGCCGCCTTCTATCTGGAACCTTTATTCTTAATACCTTCAAAAGTATATAGTTTTATAACTTTATACTTATTTTGTTTTTAAAGCACCTGCATTTCTGCCACATAACTTGTTGTGATAAATAATATGATTATTTTGAGTGTAATGGTAACGTTACCAACTATCTTAGAGTATACACAAGCTTAGTGCACTCTAAGCTAACGAGACATAACATATCACATTTTATTAAAAATGGAAATTTCACCACCGTAGTCCACGGCTTTCAACAAAAGCGCATTCAGCGAGTTGTACCTGTGCTGTATGATTTCATTACGTGATAAGCCACAGATAAAGCAACATTCGATATTCAAACGTAAAAGATAAGTTCGATGTGAAGCAAGGGAGCACTTAGATGATATCTGTATTCAATTTATTCAGTGCGGGTTCTGTGACGTCCGCTGTGCTGTAAGAGTCTGCATAAGTCAACGATAAAGAGCAGCCACGAGCATTTTAGGATAACGTTTTCATTGAAAATGATATTCCTCTATTGGCAACTGTCACCTTGTACGTGACACGGTAGCAATATTAGAGTTAATATCCAAATCGTTTTGGTGGTTTTATACCTAATATAAGATAATTCCAACTGATATACTCGTAGGTATTCTAAACGTGAGTTGATTTTAAGTTTTATGGTATTCCTAACTCTATACTCGTACTTTAACTATTTATTTACTTATTTACTTACTTTTATTATCTTAAATTGTTATGCAATATACATAATATGGTCTTTGGCGCAAAATGACTGATAGTACCTGGGTGTGTGAAACCGGAGACCATTTGCCGTATGGTGACAGTGATAATTTTTTCTCTTTGAATATCGTAAAATATGTATGACAAAGTATACTAAAGTGACCTCTGCACGTCTAACGATATATATTTTCCATATTTATGAAACGACACTTATATACATGGACATCTCCATAGTTAGAAGGGTTTACTACATCTTTGTATTGTCATTGTAGTATGTCCATTAAGCTTTGCAATACAAGACTAAAAATAAGATTCTGTCAACCAACTGATGGTAGGAAAACGATTAAATAACGATACGGGTGGTACGGAACGCAATTTCCATTGAGCTTTGTAGAACTTTGTCAAGAATTGAATGACTAATGACTCGTTTTTGAAAATGTTGAATATGTTGTATTTGTTTAAAATCAGTGAAATTAATGTTAGTCAGGAGACATTAGTGTGAAGGGCTGTGTTGATCATGTGATGGTGACGCAAACACGCCTCACTCGAAGGTTTTCGTGTATGATCTCTTGAAGCTTTCCAGTTCAATTTGCAATATTTTAATGTTTATTTATTTATTTAGACTTTATTTTAATTACCGTTATAAATAAGGTAACAATTTTTATTTAACGCCTAACGGCATTCTTTACCAGTTAACCCAAAATCTGAAGATATCAAATCTAAAGTCAAAATTATGTTTTGTATATCTTCATACGTAATTCGCCTATTCTCTTGAAATAAATTTTTCACTTCTAGCATTATACCTTTCACAACAAATGTCAAAGAGTGATGATTTCTTTCGTCATCTCTCAAAGTTACTCTACAAATCAAACAATTCATCCGGTTTTAGGCGACATAGTATACTATCGTAAAAAATCATCACGTGGAAATATTCTCGACGTAGATTAATTTACAACGAAACATGATATTTCTAGCTATTTTCATTGAAACATGATCTTTTTAGCTCCTAAAACAAATTAAAGTAGATGAAGGGAATTTTGAAATTGGAACTTTCGTATTTTTTAATAATCGTAGTTTTAAAATAAACTGGGCTAGTAACTCATATTATTAAAAAATCGTATAACTTTTTGCGTAACCTAATATATACGATATTATATGATATGATTGAAAAATGTCACAAATTGTTCCATACGCACAATCCTTAGATTGAGTGGTTAAGATTTTTTTTACATTTTAAAAGTGTACTAGTTTTAAGTAGACTTTTTAAAGTGTAGTTATAAAATATCAAGTATGGTTATAAAATACCTCATGGGTAGTACATAACTTGATGTGTCAACTTTTTGTCCTATTACAATTTAATAGAACTATAGACATACCTACTCAAAATATCAGTAAATTTAAATGATGATGGTCCTTTAGCCGATTCCGATCTGAGCAATTACGTAAGATGTAATGTAGTGTACATAAGTGTAAGTGCAAACACAGCGACATTTATTCGTCTTAATCTAGCCATTAAATATTTATGCGATAGGATCGGAAGTAGATCATAATGCGACACAAGAGACACAAGAACATTTGCAACACACGTTTTTAAATTTTACTGTTTAGATGAATTAATGAGTCAAGGAACTGAAAGGAATAAAATATTTTAATAGTTTAATTTTTACAAAGAAAACGTCATGATCATTAATGAACGATATATATACTTCATATATTATAAAAAAACACGCTTCCTTTACCTTACGCTTACCTGCTTATGTTTGTAACATCATCACACCATTGATAGTTGTGCTTAATTTGTGCTACTGTCTGTCACTGTTTAATAATTCTTCTCAGAACCGCATAAAATATTGTTATAGATATTTTTAAATAATATGATTCAAGAGTTCAATGTTATTCGATGATGAAATTACCCTTAAATTGAACAGTCAATATCAATAAAATTAAGTAATAATGGACTACTTTTTCGACAATAGTAAGTCTACCCCTATAAAGACAATTATGTAAAGAAACTCTCTTTATTGAAAAGCTGAAGACAGAAGAACATTATTGTTCTTTACATGTCATTCAGTTTTATAATTAATTTGATGAAAGTCGCGAAGTTTGTGAAAATGTTATTTACTTTGAGTTATTAGTGTCTCAGCTGGTTGATTTGAAATGCTTGAAGGGCTCCAACGAGCTAAGAGGCTATTGAAGAAATTGTATTAATTTTAATTCATAAACAATAATGAATATTAATGGCGTTTACGTTCGCATGGAAAATGAACCGCAACTAAATTTTCGGCAGTAAACTTCCAAAAACGAGAACTTTAAATCATTAACATTGATGGTGAATCGCTCGTCCACTAATTGATGTATTGAACTTTACGCCTGATATATTTTATTTAGATATATTAATAAGATAATTTATTTATTTTAACAAAATAAATTTAACATTACTTATGTTTATTCTGAAAATCGTTTATTTGTGTATCGATGCGCTCCCATGTGAAATACGAAAAGAAAATAAACCTTTATGAATAAAGCTTTGGCTCCGCTTCATAT